TCAGGTGGGATTATAATCACAGGTACTAAAGTCAGAATTTACAACACAAATTGTAGGGGGACACTCCCAAATAATTTTAATTTTATAGTGTGGTAGTAAGAATGTATTTGTGTGTGTGTGTGTGTGTACCGTCAAATCAGATTTGACTGGTACAGGAGGAGATTGTTCCTCCTTCTCCAGCAAAGTATCTGGTGGATTTGAACCTCACACCTCTGGGATTTCAGTGTAGCTTCTTGCAAGAATGTATTTTTAACTGGAGAATAACAAATTTTTATGTTCAAGAAATAAATTCTAATGTTCAGATTTATATATTGAGGACTATAATAAAAAGAACTAGAAATAAAATACAGACACATTCCAATGATAGGTTACAAAAAGCAGTCATGTCAAGATAAAATGAGATCTCATATAGTGAATCTATTTTAGGTTATCAATACAAGATAAATCGACATGCCCCTTTTCATTACTTAATTTCTTGTAACACAATGTAATAGATAACAAAATTATTAATTACTTATCAATCGGAGAGTATAATAAAAGGCAGAAATGTTTATCCATAAAATGTATGAATAAAAATGCAGGAACACTTTTATCAATTTGTTAGATATGATGGTCAAGCTTTTCCTGTTTATTTGACAGATTTAAGAAAGAAAAACGTCTATACCACTAAAAAGTATTTGATCAGTAATTAGCAGCTGACATTAGATATTGAACAGTTCATCCTTTCCCTACCTATCTGCAATGTCAACTCTTCTGTGTATCAAGTTCTCCTATAAACATAAGTCCATTTTTAGGCTCTTTCAATTTTACTTTAGGAACTCTGGTGGCTTAGCGGTAAAGAATTATGCTATCAACACAAAGACATGCAGTTCGACTCCACCAGCTGATCCGTGGAAGAAAGATGGACAATCTCCTCCCGTCTCCTGTGCATCTAAAAACTGGCTATAGAGTTTTATAGCATCTGAAATTACAGCATCTGAAAATCCACTAGAGGGTCAGACTCGACAACACAAAGTAATTCATTATATTCTATTGATTACTTTTCTAGCCTCATGACAACAGCAAATTATTACATTCGTTATTATAACTTTATAACTCTAACAGTCTGTTATGCAATTAGCTACCCCTTCACTTCCTGACCCTTATCCTCTACCACTTCCATAGATTTCTTCTTTTTGAGTGTTTAAGTGCTTGACTGCTTAGCTGGAAGGCTGTGGTTGGAACTTACTCAGAGAAGCTTTAGAAGACAAGCCTGGTGATGTGCTTTTTAAGGTCATGGCCTTAAATCCCCTATGGAACAGTTCTACTCCACACATGTGGGGTTGTGATGAGTTGGAATCAGCATCCTGGCCCAGGCTGAGTGTGGGTCACAGTTCAGGGACCTGGAGACTGGACAGAAGTTTAACTGAAGTTTGATTAACAAGCACTTTGTTTCTGATTGATGAGTGGGAACAATCAATTCAGTTACTCATTTATGAGGCAAAGAATGGGAATTTGGAGAGTCTTTGTCTGTCCTGGTTGTTAAGCATGTGGAGAGTAACAAAAAGGTTGGCAGTTCAAACTAATCACCTGCTCTGTGGAAGAAAGATGTAGAAATCTGTGTCTGTTAAGATGACAGCCGTGGAAACCATGGAGCTGTTCTGCTGTGTCCTAAGGTCACCAGGAATTACTTTTACAAATGCAAAACTCACTGCTATAAGTTTGGCGTTTCCTCAAAAAGCTGAACAGAGAAATTCCATATGATCCAGGTATTCCACTGCTTGGAGTACACCCCAAGAGAACGAGAACTGAGGCACAAACAGAGTTGTAAACCAACCTTCACAGCAGCATTATTCGCCATTGCAAGAACATGGAAACAGCCCAAATGTCCAACCACAATGGAATGGACTGAGAAATTATGGTACACTCACATGATGGAATATTATACAGCACTACATAGCATGCAGGAGCAATGATTTTGTAAATTACTACCCAACTTTGGAGGGACTGGAGAGCATTATGTTAAATGAACTAACTCAGTACCATAAGGGCAAATACACTGTATAAGACAATTACTGCAGAATGTGTATGAGGATCCCAGGGGGGAGGAGGCAAGCAGAGGGGTGAGGGAAGGGGGTGATTAATCATAGGGTCACACAATTTGATGGGTGGACGGAGGGGTAGGTAAAGGAAATGGGAAAGATCGGGTGTGAAAAACAGTGTTTACAAACTTTGTAAGTAAACTATAAAAGTATAAAAGAAACATTTTATTTAAATTTTAAAAATCAAACAAAAAACTTGTTGCCATGGAATAGGAACCAACTCATAGCTTCCCTTTCACTGGATTTATTGAGGCTGTAAATTGTACAGGAGGAGATTGCCCATCTTTCTCCCAAGGAGCCACTGGTGGATTTGAATTGTCAGAGAGCCACTGTCTCTGGATTAGTAGTGCAAATCCCACCAGAGCTATCCCACCGAAGCTCTGAATATAAAAGTGGGTGATTTCTCTACCCATTGCTGTTTCCCAGTATCACCAGGTTGCGGTAAAGTTCAGTTTTCTTTATAGTCATTGCTATTTTCTTATTTGTGAATAAAAGAGCTTAGAAAGGACAACTTGTTTAAAGTATCTAGCAGGAAAGAGAGATAAACTATGAGTTCAGGCTGTCTGTCTTCAGGGCTTATGTGTGTGATATACCCTTTAAAACCACTATAATTTTATATGGGAATGATCTGTTCATTCACACATCCCAAGGAGAACTTTCTGAGTACCCTGAGGTGAAACCACAAGCATTGATACAAACTATTTCAGGGTAGAACTGTGCTCATGGGGTTTTGCCATAGCTGCCTTTTCACCATAGATCCCCAGGCTTATCTCCTGAGGCACCTCTGGTGGACTCCAACCTTTGGTTATTGGTCAAATGTGTTACCAGTCTGCATCATCTAGACTCCAGGGGAGCTCTGGAGAGGACCCTGACAGCACATTTCCCTAACGCAATTCATCTTTTGATTTCCTGACTCCTGGTACCAATAGGAGTGTTGAGTGTAGAGCTGAGCATGCTGTAACTGTTAACCCAAACTCTTCTCCATCTATAATGGTGCTGCAAATTGGCCCAGCGGTGAGAATCTTTGTTTTCTTGACACTGATTTATTCATTGCAATTACCTTCTATAAGAAACACAAATCGTGACTATACATCTCGACTTCACCCAGGAATCAGATAGATTACATCTGTGAAAAGAATAGTTGGAGAAACTCAGTATCAGCTGAAAAAACTAGGCCAGGTGCTGATTGTGGAACAGATTATCAACTGACTCATACCCAAGTTCAAACTGAAGCTAAAGAAAATTAAATCAAATCCACAAGAACCAAAATATGAAGTTTATTTTATCCTGCCTAAATTTAAAAACCATCTCAGGAACAGGTTTGAGGCCTTGGATACTAATGAAGGAAGACAAGATGAGCTGTGGGAGGATATCAAGAATATCATCCACGATGAATGCAAAAGGACATTATAAAGGAGGAAGAAAAGATCGAGACAGATGTTGGAAGAGACTATTGCATGAGAGCACTGAGAAACCAAAGCATAGGGAAGAAACCAGGAAATTAAGGTGCTGAACAGAAGAGATTTCAAAGGGCAGCTCGGGAATACAAAGCAAAGTATTACAATGAAATGTGTAAAGAGCTGGAGAAAATCAAAGGAATGAACTCGCTCAGCACTCCTTAAGCTTAAAAAATAGAAGAACAAATTCGAGTCTGGAGTTGAAATAACTTAAGGATGCTATGGTCAGAACAGTGAATAGAAAGCATCATAAGAAGATGTAATGTACAGAGAGATTAAAAGTTGATATTGAAGTCACTCTTATTTAAAAAAAAAAAAATGGAAGGTGTACAGAGTCACTGCACCAAAAAACAACAACAACAACAAAACCCCAACAAACCGAAACATGGATAAGACTCCTCAAAAAAATAAGCTGCAGGATGAGAGGACAGCCGGGCCTAGACTGAGGAACGGTGAGTGGGAAGAGTAGATAATGGAAGTGAAGTATCCTTGCGTCTATGGTGTTTCAGCGCTGTAAGCAAGGCTTAATACAGAATGGATGTTCAGTACTTTGGACACCGCGGGCAGAACGTAGTCCTGGTTTTCTCCGTAAAAACGCAGGACAAGGGGGCGGAGAGGGCTGGCGCGCAGACGCGCCCCTCAGCTGCGCAAACCCTTCCAAGTGGAGCTGTCTGCGGGAAGTGGCTCAGACCGCCGAGGGCAGTGGCCTCGCCTCCCTTGGGGATCTTGGAAAAGAGCCCCCGGTGCTCTAGTAGGGGATGTCTCGAGGTCGAGGATCTTGCGCTTTTAGGCGGATCTAGAGAGATGCAGGAAGACGAGGCGCGGCCACCCACTTCAGAGAGCGAGCGGTAGGGGCGGGAATGAAGAGGAGATGGGGAAAGGTCATCCGAGAGCGCTGGAGACCTTTGGAAACTCACCTGGCACTCTCCAAAGCGACAAAACCAACCAACCAACCACCCCAGCGCCAGTCCGTTCAGACGCCTGGTGACTTCACCAGAGGTGAAACAGAACCGAACTCCCAAGGGTTTTCAAGACCAGCCTCTCAGAAGCAAATCTCCAGGTCTTTCTTCCCAGGCACTTCTAAGTGGGTCTCAGTTGGCCAACTTTCCTGATCAGCGGCCACGAGGCTTAACCGTGTGCGGCGCGCAGGAACTTGTTCAAAGCTCAGGAGAGAGCAGGTGCCAAAGCCGGGGAATGAATGACCGATGACATCCCTCTTAGCAGCCTGAGAGCGCTCGGTCGGAGACGAGAAGACAGCGAGGGGCGTGGGGCGTCGGGCGCCGAGGCGCGGGGTAGCCCCAGGGGGCCGTCGGAAGCACCGGAGTGCGCAGGCGCCTCTGGCCGCCACGAGGTGGCAGAGGTGGGGGCCGGCGCTCCCCACCGACCCCACAGAGCTGGCCCCGCCCCCAGGCCGCGGGGAGGCCCCTGGTGCGGGGCGGAGTTGTCACCGCCCCCCATCCCTGGGGACTGCTCGCCCCTTCTTAAGCGAGAAGAGCGCCTTTCTGCCCCTCACTCGCCTCTCCCTCCAGTCTTGCTCCCGCGCGATGGCCTCAGCTCTGAGCTATGTCTCCAAGTTCAAGTCCTTCGTGATACTGTTCGTCACCCCGATACTGCTGCTGCCACTCATCATTCTGATGCCCGCCAAGGTCAGTTGAGTTTCCCAGCAGTCTGGCGGAGCGCGGGCGCTCGGTCACCCCCAGCAAGAGCATGGTGCAGGCGTGCACGCAGTTTTGGGAAGGGCATCGCTCCCCCAAGCGCTCACACTCACGAGCTCTGGATGCCAGATGAGGGCGCCCCTCACAGAATCCGAGGGACACCGAGACGCTTTGGCATTCCTTGCTCCCAGGGCACAGGAACCGTACCGGCAAGCACAGAGCCCTCCACGTGCGCACAGATCTTGGGCACTCAGTCCCCCAACAGAGAATCCCCCAGAATGCATAATGGTGTTTCTCCAGAAAATATGCGCTCCCCGCCGACCAGAGGCTTAGGCGCTTGTTTCTACTCCCATTTTTCTCTCCTTAGCATGCAGGATTGCCCAGCTCTAGGTGGCTTCAGAGGGAGAAGGATGGACAATCTCCTCCCGTGCCATTAACTGCTTCTGGAGGGTCAGCTATGGGTCGGTTCCGACTCGACAGCACACAACGACAACAACAGATGACTTCCGAGGTCAGGGAACTTAGAGAAAAGATCCTCACCTAGGTGGTTCCCGAGTGTTGCCTTTGACACGCCCTGGCTCTACTTTGGGCCTCAGTTTCCCCTTTCAGTAACCCAGTTTATTTCCAGCCCAGAAAACCAGGAAACCAAAGCAGAGCCAGAATTTCTGGCCCGAGCTGAAGGGCAGCTCAGGTTGGCCTGCTTTGCTCGCTGCCCGCTGTGGCTGTGGCAGGAGGCGGGAGACGTTCCCAGAGCTCACGCCTTGGGTGGCAGAACCCGGGGTTGCAGGGAAGCCGCGTCTCTGCACCGGCCCCCCCAGTGCTCGGGGTGGGCCGCCAGCGAGAATGAATGGCTTTGGCCTCGGGTTGGAGGCGGGGCTGGCGCCCTGGCCCAGGCTCCGCGGGGTTGTGTGCTGCCTGCTTGGCAGAGGCCTGAGCCCTTTGAAGCCTTTTGTGGCTCGCTGGTTGCTCCTTCCTCTTCCTCATTCCCTCTTTCAGCCCTTTTCACTGAGGCCAGACAGGAAACCTCCGGCTCCTACCCCCGCTCCGGTCGCAGGCAGGTTCGGGGAACAGAGGAGCTCTTCAGGAGATGTTGGGAGCGGCCCTTGGAGGAAAGGGGCGAGCACTGGGAAGCCAACCTGCAGGAGAACTGGACTTGGACCATTTACTCATCTTGTGACTTTAGTCGGCCCTCTGTGCTCTCAGGCCTTGGTGTTCTCATCTGTATAATGGGACAAGGTGGTTCAGTTCTTACACTTTAATGCTTGTGATGTACCATTCTGTTTGTTGGAACCACTTATAGCTGACCATCTAGCTGGTGTTCAGAGGTAGTAAACATCTTGGGAGGAGATTGCCCATGTTTCTCCTGAGGAGCATCTGGTGGATTCAAACTGCCTACCTTTAGAGTTGACATTGCAACTCCTTACCACTAAGCTATCAGAGCTCCCTTACTTTAATACTTATTGTTGGTTGTTATACGTGAGTTAGAGTTAGAACCAACTCCTAGCTGACCTCTCAGCGGGTTTTCAGAGGCTTTAAATTGCAGAGATGGAGATTGCTGGTGGATTTGACCTGTGGGACTTCAGGTTGACAGCACAGCTCTTTGCCTCTAGGCCACCAGACCCTAATATTTGTTGTGTTATTGTTCTGCGCCCTTGAGCCGAGTGCTACTCTTGGTGACCTTATGTATGAAAATCAGATCTGAATCCTGCCCTAACCTGTGCCATTCTCACATTCTCCGACACACCTGAGCCTGTTGCTGGAGTCACTATGTCAATAATCCACCGGGTTGAGGGTCTTCCTCTCCTTTGCCAGTTTCTTGGCTGAGTGCAGACCCGGGATGGGGCAAGGGCAGGAGGTCCCATTGTAGTGTCTCTTCAGTGGCCACATCAACTGTGAGAGGCTTTATTTCCTCTTTGGAAAAAGATTCTGGGCTGTTATTGTCAGTGGGAGGGAGCCAGGCAGGAGAGCTGTGATTTGAGTTCTGCTGGTGGGGGGAGTGTTTTTCCTGGAATAATTATAGTAGCGTGGTTGACCTTCCTGTCCTAGGGAAGAGTGACTGAGACTTTACTCTCACACTGCCGCACACACAGGTGAGCCCTGAACTGGGACCTCAACACACACACACAGACACACACACACACACACACACACACACACCCCAGAGCTGGAATGTGAACGTGGATGTTTGTGTGTGTCATTAACCTGCCCCTGGGGACAAGAATCATGATAGGGACGAGGTGACATCAGTGAAAGTTGTTCCCAAACAGCCTGCACATGCTCCCACTCTCTCTGGGAACTGGGACTTCTTGTTTTCTCCCGTTGTTGCTTCTGTTTTGGTCACTACGGAAGCATTCCCTGTCCCCACCAGCCATAGCCAGACCATTGTGCAAGGATGGCCGAAGTCACATGACAAGGGCAGAACAGCTGGGAAGCCGTAAGCAGGACTTTGGTCCCCTGGACAGAAGTATCAGGCAGGAGGGTTAAGTCCTGGGGAGTGGGCCCAGCCCTAGCGCCTTTACCTCACACCCAGGCTAACTTTTGTTCCTCTACCACCTTGTTTCCTTCCTGGCTTCATCTCTGCTCCACTCCTCCTGTCCTTTCTCTGGATTTCTTGTTAACACCCTCTTTTTAAAAATTTATTTACTTATTTTCTTCACAACATATTTAACTTTTATTTCTTAGGGGATTAGCAGGCTGTAATAAATGAAACTTTACATTTTAAGTGGCTTCTATCTTTTTTAAAGAAAATTACTTTAATGAAACTTTACAATGACTTGGATTTCCATTCATTCATTGTTGCACACTTTCCTCCCTGCTCACCCCTCCCCCCAGTTAGCTTTTCTCTTTGGAAAGTAAAAAAAAAAAATTCTTTCATTGTTATACAATCCCTCACCCCAAATCCACTCTACTATGCAGTTTTCACCTAATCATACATTCCTCCTAAACCATTTTCACCCTCATTTGTTTGAATGCAGTATACATTATTTATCCCTTCTTAGTTTCTCCCCAACCCTGATGTCAGCCCCATTTAACAACAGTGACACTATGCAGTATTTGTCCTTCTATGACTGAGATATTTCACTCAGCATAATGTCCTCCAGAGTCACCTATTTTGTATAATATTTTATGAGTTCCTTGTTTTTCAATGCAGCACAGTATTCCATTGTGTGAATATACTACAGCTTCTCTATCCATTCGTTTGTTGATGGGCACTTGGGTTGTTTCCAACTCTTTGCTATTGTGAACAAAGCTACAATAAACATGGGTCTGCATATATCTGCTTGGGTGGCAGTTCCGGTTTCTTTATGGTATATTCCCAGTAGTGGAATTGTTGGGTCAAATGGTATTTCTATTTCCAACTTTTTGAGAAAGCGCCTTCCACAATGGTTGCACCATTTTGCACTTCCACCAACAGTGAATAAGGGTTCCAGTTTCTCTACAGCCTTGCTCACCAGCATTTGTTGTTTGCTATTCTGTTAAATTTTGCTATTCTTACTGGGGTGAGATGATATCTCATAGTTGTTTTGATTTGCATCTCAGAGTTAGGGATTTTGAACATCTCTTCATGTGTTTGTTCGCATCTGAATGTCTTCTTTGGTTAATATTCCTTTTTAAGGAAATAAATAGGCATGCTCAGAGCTAGGGATTTTTTAACATCTCTTCATGTATTTGTTCGCATCTGAATGTCTTCTTTGGTTAATATCCCTTTTTAAGGAAATAAATAGGCGGTTCAAATTCACCAGCTGTACTGTGGCATTTGGACAAGAACAAACTGGGAGGAGGGTAGAGAGAATAGTGCAACAATGAATGAGTGGAAGCCCAAAATCTCTGTAAATGTTTATGAAAATTAATAAAATATAATTATAATTTAAAAAAAAATTCACCAGCTGTCCGGTGTGACCTACAGCCCCTGAAAAGCCTACTGGGGGTCAACTGTGCATCTGTTCTGGCTCAGCAACAATGAAAGTTTTTGAGGCATAGGGCTGGATGCTGAACTAAATCTCCTGCCCTTTCTCTGGATCTCTTTTTAACACTATTCGTGTATTATTTATTTCATTTAAATAATAATAATTTTTAAAAACCCAGACACCTCTAACAATGCTGTATAGCACAAAGGGAAAACAAAAATGCTTTTCAAGTTTGTCATTCTCATGAACATCTTTCCAGAAGTCAATTCTCGTTCTCTCTGTTCTCACACAGACATACAACATACACCCTTAGCTGCATTATTCAGTAAGCATTATTCCAATATAAAAATATTCCAATATAAAAATAATGAATTGCAATCTTTATTCATGTGCATATTTAATATCCATTTCTTGAACCTAACTATGAGCTAGATAGGGAGCTCTGCTGATCTGGTGATACGAAGCTGCACTGCAATCCCAAAAGAATGTAGTTCAAATCCACCAGTTGCTCCTTGAGAGGATGGACAGTCTCCGCTCTTGTAATATACTGACTCTGAAAACCCATAGGAGAATCAGCTATGGGTCAGTTCCGACTTGATAGCACATAACAAATATGCCCTAGGCAGCTGCTCACCGACAGTTTGGAGGTTTGAATCTACTCAGAGAGGTCTTAGAAGCAGGAACTGAAGCTGCCTCTCGCGGCCTAGTAAGTAAGGAGCTGTGCTATCAATCTAAAGGCAGGCATTTCAAATCCACCTGCAATCTCCTCCCAGGCTATTTATAGCCTCTGAGAACCCACAGGAGGGTCAACTCTGACTCAGTTGCAACTCGATGACAATGAGTGGTTTTGAGTTATATGTTCTCTAGGAGCTGTGTGGGTGCCGAACTAAATCTCAGTGTCAACTTTATCTCAGCTTTAATGACTTTTCCCTCCAGATTCTCTGCTGCAGGGAGGTACTCTGAATTTACCCACAAGGGACTAGGCTCTTCCTCCAAGTAGATAGAATCCACTGCATTCTCTTGATTATTAGCTCCTCCAGGCTTTTATAACTTCCTTCTCCCTATTCTGCACTTTCTGCTAAC